ATTTTACCTGAAACTTCCACATCGGAAAATTTCTCAAAACGTTTTTTAACTAAATATGGTCCGAGATAAGGTGATTGAAGAGAAGATGAAATTATGTTATCATACTAGATGAATACGTGTGAACAATTTGTAAAGTCCTTGTGCACGAAAATTAGTTTTTTGTCATGGTTGGTCGTTTGGTGTTGGATTTAGGTTTTGGATGTGCCTTTGCAATTTTGTATAAAATCTGAATGCGTAACAGTAGGGGACATAACTCAAAAAATTCTCCAGGCAAAAAGATGGTGAACCGTACACAAGTTCAACAGAAGAAGAACAATGTAAATCCTCCTTAATGGCGGATCGAATGCCAAGAAGAATTAAAGGTAGCACGTCAGTCCAAGAATTTGACTTTTGCAGGTGGGATTTTAGGCTGTTTTTCAAGGTTCGATGTTGCCGTTCTATTAAACCATTAGATTGTAGATGATAAGCCATGGTGCTGTTAGCCTTGAAGCATAGGTATTTGCTCAAGGTTCTGAAGTGTGGCTGTGAAATTGTCGACCTTGGTCAGATGTTATCTTCTCTGGAATTCCAAATCTCGAAATCCAAGTCGCGAGGAGCGCATTTGCGACGGACTATGCAGTTTGGTCTTCCAAAGTTACAGCCTAGATCCACCGAGTGAATCTATCGATGATGGTAAACAGGTACCTAAAACCTTTGCAAGATGGTAAAGGGCCAACGATACGATATTAAGGTGCTTGAAACGTTGATTGGGAACTTTGAATTCAGCAGCTGGAGCATGGGTATGTTTGTGAATTTTGGCTCGTTGGCATTGCAAACATGCTCTAGACCACTGCTGACAGTCTTTGTTTATGCCAGGCCAAATGAATCTTTTTGTCACCAGCTTCGTTGTTGCACGAATCCCAAGATGGGATAAGTTATGTATAGAAAGAAATACTTGTTCGCGAAATTCTTTAGGAATGTATGGCCTGTTAAAATTAGTGGAGGTATCACAGTAAATTTTCTTATTGCTATCCGGAATAGGAATTAGTACTATTTTGAAACTGGAATTTGATTTGAGAATCCTGAGGTCTTCAATCCTCCCTGGCAATCTGCTATAACTGTATAATCAATTGGAGCTTGGATAGCGATAATGTCGAATTCTCGGATAGCGTATCAACTACAATGATTTTCTTCTCCAGAAATGTAGCGTGTGTCTGCAGTGAATTCAGGCAATGTAGTTCAATTGTCCGTACTTGTCTCGGAGAGGCTTTATCTAAATTCTGGTGGAAGGCGTGAAAGTTATAGGTTTATGATCAGCGAAGATAGTAAATGATCGTCTTTCCAGAATGTGTTTTAAATGCTTCACCGCTAGGTAGATTGCAAGTAATTCTCGCTCGTATGCACTGTAATTTCTCTGTGTTGGTTGACAGGGATCGGGAGAAAGAGCTTAGCGGTTGTTTTTCATTATTAGGATAGTTGATGAATCACAGCACCCACGGCAGAATCAGAATGCATCTGTAGTTAGGGTGAATCTGCGCCGTTTAATTGGGGTGTGAACTAACATTACAGAGTTGCACAGTGTGCGTTTTGATATCAATGAAAGCCGTTCTGCGCATCTTCGGTCCGAAATTAGAAGGTTTTGCTGCTTTTTTTTTCTTACTCCTTTAAGCAAGATTGTCAGAGGTTGTTGTAGTTTGGCGCAGTTTGGAATGAAACGATGGTAAAAGTTCACCATGCCCAAAAATCTGTGCAAGCTTGTGATGGATTCTGGTATAGGATATTCTTTAATTGTATCGACTTTGGATGGAAGTGGTTTGATTCCTTCCGTTGATATTTCATATCCTAAAAATCCAACTTTACTCAACCCAAATTTGCATTTTACAATGTTTATGCACAGTCCATAGTTATTGAGTCTTTGGAAGATTAATTCAAGATGTTTTTTGTGTGTTTCAGCATCTGGAGAGGCGATGAGAATGTCGTCGAGATAGCAAAATACAAAGTCTAGACCGCTAAGCACTGTGTTCATAAACCTTTGGAAGGTTTGTGCAGCATTTCGTAAGCCAAATGTCATATAAGGAAACTCAAAAAGTCCGAAAGGTGTTAGGATTGCTGTCTTCGGAATATCAACTTCATTAACAGGAATCTGTTGGTATGCTCTTATTAAATCTATGGTTGAAAAAATCGTTTTTCCGTGCAGAATGTGAGTACAGTCAGTTAGAAATGGTAGTGGGTAACGGTCTGGTACAGTATTTGCATTAAGGCTACGGTAATCACCACATGGTCTCCAGTCACCGGATTTTTTTAAAGTGAGGTGCAATGGACTTGACCAGCTGCTTTTCGATGGTCTGCAGAGACCTTCTTGCAACATATAATCAAATCCTTTTTCCGGCAATCAAGTTTCTTGTGAAGGTCTTCTGACTTTAAAGGATACAGGGTTACATTTGGTTTCGATTTAATGTTGCACATCATATTCTTTAATTTTATTGTTTTTTATGTTGGGTTTAAGTAAGTCAGGAAATTTGTTTAGGATGGCTCTATATGGGTTTTGAAAAGTATTAGCAATGAATTTAGGAGTAACGCTATGGTTACATAAAGTACCTTTAGCGGTTAATGAGGTGGTGCCATCGATTAATTTCCTGTTTTTACTATCGACTAACAAATTAAAATGTGGAATAAAGTCTATTCCCTCGATAGGTTTATTAACGTCCGCAATGATAAAAGGCCATTTGAAAGATCTGCGTAGCCCTAAATCGAGCTCCAATAATTTTTGATCGTATGTTTTGATTGTTGTGAGCGTTAGCTGCGAATAACTCAAGCTTAGCCACAGTTCTTTTTTCCGATGGTAACGGTGGGATAATCGACATTTCTGCTCCAGTGTTAATTACAAAATGGGTTGCTGATGCGTTGTCACGAATATATAGACGACTCAGCTGTACCCCTTGACTTTCTATCGTCATCGAAGGCCGGGGAATCAGTTTTCCTGTTTCGAGACCTGGTATTTACAAGGTGGGGTGCACTTGTACGCTCTCTCACCAAAGCGTTGATGAAAATAACAATTATTTGGGTCATTGTTATTTTTGAAACGATTTCTAGAATTCGACCTGTATCGTCGTCTTTGTGCACTGGAATTCCTACGCGTATTCATTTCTGCTATCTGCAGTGTCAAGTTTTATATCTGCTTCTGTAAATCTTCGGGGGTAATGTTATCAGATGGGGAAGAAACAATGCGAGCTACCTGGGATGGATTGGGATTTAATTCCCATATTTTGTCAGCCATTGGAGACAATTTGGACAAATCATCACTGCTTACAGATAAAATGTTCCGCATATCAAGTGGTAGTCGTTGCATCCAAAAAGTTTTTAAAAATTCACCTGGCACTTTCTCAGCCGCCAAGTTACGGATTTCGCAGAGAAGTTGGGATGGTTTCTTATCACCCAGTTCTAATTCGGTCAGAAGTGTTTCAGAGTCGGCAAAAATTTCGATCAGCCTTTTTTTAATGGCCGGATATTTGCCGTTGTCTGGTGGTTTGGTGAGAATATGAGAGATATGTGACAATGTCCCGGTTTCAATAGAACTGGCTACATAATCGTATTTTGTTTGATTAGCCGTAATTCCAGTGTTTCAGAATTGAGCTTGAATCTGAAGAAACCATATTTTGGGGTCAGGTTTCCAAAAAGGAGGAATTTTGATGCTGACCTTGGCGACAGTCGCAGATGTTGCATTTGTTTCGGCTTATTTACTTTCATCTCCTTCAGCCATAGCAGAATTAGGCTAAACGGAAATACAGCTACCTTTATTTAATTTTTATATTTTTATAACTTTTCCGGCTAAAGTTTGCTTAGTAAAAAGTAGTTCATTTATTCTTGACACATTTGATGCATTTTGAAAATTCTAACTGCATTCATTACCGCTGAAGTTATATTGCAATATAGAACAAAATTAAAATTTTTAACGTTGACTTACCATTTTAGAAGTATTTCAGTCCTACGTACGCTCGGAATTTACATTTCCCAGACGCACCAAAGCAATCGATTCATCAATTCTTGATGTAATCCATGCGCACCAGAAGCACTTCGAAATTGAAATTATCACTCAATCCACTGTCAAACTCAGGAAAAAATTGCGGAACTTTAAAAATGGGTAAGTAGCTTCTTAGACTCTGTCCGTAACATTTATTCGGTAACATGTGACTATTTATAAAGTGCTTGTAATGTCAATGACATCTCGTAAAATTGCAGAAACATGGCACGTTCTTTTTTCATCAGACACTTTATAAGTTGAATTCAATCGTATCCGAGTAAACCAGTGTGGATGTCTTGAACATATGAAATGTTAAACATTGCTTTTACTCCAATAAGATTTATGTTTATTTATATTTTTTTAGATATAGAATCACACAGACAAAAAATCAGTCATCGTTCTTTTTCTTCTCTCTTGCTTCATGTTGCCATTCTGGCGAAAAGAAAAGTGCAAGCGAGAACTTTAGCAGATGGCGCTTCCTTAACGCGAATGGTGTCGCCACATTGCTCTTATTTTTAATAAATTTCACATCATATGAGCTAAAGTAGGACTATTTATCTGAAAATTGTTGAGGATAATTTACTATTTTGAAAATATCTAATTTTGAACAGTTTTTTAATTTAAGTTTGATTTATAACATGCCAAGAAAGTTTTAGGAACTGTTATTTAGAGGTAAAAGTGTTTAATGATAAAAATATATGTCCATACTTTGTTAAAAATAAGTACACGTTTGTTAACTTAATTAACGCTTCTCTTTTTCAACTTTATTTTTTCTTTCTTGCTGAAAATTTTATTGAAAAGGAATTATTCCTATTCAATATATTTCGAGAAACATTTGTTATGCGTTTTAAACATAAATGTGGTTTCGAAACGCATGAAAGTTCAATTGCGTGTTAAATTTTATTTTCTGACCGTAATATTACGCGCATCAGTCGCTCTTACTTCCCTTAATAAGAAGAATACGATCTAAAGGGATCACGTGATCACCGAATCTGCCATTTTGGATCATACTGTCGTCGTGTCGCAAGTTGTTTAAAGTTTATCTCGTTTGTGAGAAAATAAAGGTAATAATCATAATTAAACGCATCACCTATTTATTTCACATATAATTGCATTCATCACTGCAATTTTTTAAATCGCGTAGGTTAGGCGGATCCTCCGAAGGGAAACATTATTTACATTGCTACTGTAATCAGCTGCAAGGTTGGTTTGTTTTTAAATATAATATTTTAGTGTGAGATGAATCAGTGCTAATTAGAAAGTAAACTTTTATCATGCTTTCAGTTTTATTTTGAAACATGATTTTAAAATTCGAATGGTACTTCCGCAACGTTTTAAAATAATGGGAAAAAAATTAATTAATTATATTTTTTTTTAATTCAAAAAAAGTAATTAAAGTCCTATGAATTGCATGGTAGTGTTAATGGGGCAATATTCAGGGTAAAGAAAATTTTTCAGAAAAATATCATTCCTAGTGTCATTTTCTTGGATCATATTTTGACCTATTTAAGACGCGTAATTGCACTAATAGCAGCTGTCCGTGCATGTCTGCTTGTATTTTGAAATACTGTGTAATGAGAATTGTAAAAGTGAAAAATATGGTCAACATTTCATTCAAAATGATAATCTGCCATATTGTCAGCTTATGCAATATGGAAGCATTTGGTTGAACATCAAGATTTTGTTCCACATAGCAAAGCATGGTGCATGTAAACAAACAACGAAACCCTTTAATCGCGTATTTAGAACGAGAAGTTCCTGTGAATATATACCATGTTCGTACTTATTTAGTGAAATTTCATGAGAATATAATTTTTTAATAAAGTTTTTTTTTTTATATTTCTTTCATAATTATTTAGAATTTACTTCGTAATTCATTCATTCTGCTCATTTAAATAACATTCATCTTTTTACAATTCTCATTCTTCAATTAATTTGTTTCCTTCAGCATAGCATTTAATAAAAGATAAAATGTGAAAGAGAACTTCCAATGAAATTTGAGATTAGTTGTTTATAATCATAGCATGTAATTTGTAATTTAAATCATCTCCCAATGAGGTAAGTTTTTTCATATTTTCATAGTGTTCATTATCAAAGATTTTTTCAAATTGTATATAATTTGCAGTTTAAATTATAAGTTAACATAGATTAACAGTATATAGTATTTTTACAGCATCGTAATACAGTATAATGATTTGATTGAAATACTTATTCTTTGTTGCAGGGAGTCTAAACTTGTAAACTGCTTAACATGTGAAATTTTCTGGTTATGAACTTTTTTTTTTTTTTTTATCCCATATTGGTCTTTGGACATAAATGTATTCTCAATCTTGTAATTCTTTTCCTATCTCATTTTGGCCACAGGTGTGGGTGTGGGAGTCCCAGCAGTAAAGTCAATGAAAACTGGTAGCTCAGTCGGAGGTTCGAGTCCTGTGAACGTGTTGGCAGCCTGGGCGTTTTCATGGTTTTCCCCATGTGTAACATGTAGACGAGCCAGTTTTCCATAGAAAGATCTTCACAAAGGCATCCCTTCCCTTAGGCATATAGCCCTCGAGGTTTTGCCATAATTATATAAACGAAACCATTTTGGCTTTGGGATTCAAAATTATTCTCAATATATATGAATTGCTACAATATCTTTAACATATTTTTCATATTTTTTATCTATTACTGTCAGGATTTGTAAAATATTCTTTATAAGTTCCGTAAAAAATACATATCTTGTGTTTTCTTGAAAATAAAGTGCATCTGTAAGAATGTGATAAAATTCACTTATTAGCGATATTATTTTAAGATCTGCATAATAATTACTGGTTAAGTATAATTTTCTTTAATTGCTTTTACCTCTTAACCCTTTGCGTTCGAGCGATGCCTTTCAAGCACCACTGCATGTGATGCGATGACTCGAGCAGTGCCTGAGAGGCACCATTCGAATCGATGTGTTTATTTGTGTTTGACCTAAGGAATATTGCTTGAGAGATCTACTTGGCCTTTTGTAGATCATATTACTAGGTGTCTGAATAGCTATAAGGATGTCTTATCTCAAATAAAGGTTGTCTTTGCAATGCTTACGCGATTAAATGTCTTATCTCAAAAATACTTGCGACCGCAGGTAGGACTCTGTCTTCGACATCAGTTCGAACTGAACCTTCTTGCCGATCGCAGTATTTCTTTCAAAGTTACTGAGCCCAATAAGTATGGAACACGACGAAGAAGTTACTTCTAGCAAAGATGAGTTTAATTTTTTGGCAATAACGAATGAAATTACATCACTACATAGACAGCTTGCCCATGAGAACAAAGACGGATAAAGATAGTGACGACGTTAGAGGAGCAAGAAGACGAAAAAATCCGAATAATCGACAGTGAATCTGGAAGCCAGTGATTGTACAGAAGAGACTGAACCTTCAGAATGGACACTGTGCACAGAATCTGAAGAAATCCCCAGAAAAATACCATTTGTATCTGGTGAAAGACAAGTAGGACCGCACGTATTTGCACACATAAAAGAACCAATAGATTTTTTCAAATTATTTTTCACTGAGGAATTAGTTACTGACATAGTGCAGGAAACTAACAATAACGCTGTAAGGAAGGTGGAAGGGAAGACCTTATCATCCCGTTGTATATGGCGATCAGGTTAGGATGTAACTGTTACCAAATTTTGGGCGTTTATTGGGGCAATCATAAATATGGGGACAATGCCACTGGCAAACATACAAGAATACTGGTCGAAAAATGATACTAGTTATATTCCGTTTTACTCAGACACGTTTACGAGAGACCGATTTTGTCAAATATTTTGGAGACTTCACCTAAAGACAATACCCTCAGAAAACACAAACCCTAGAACCCGCTTGCAGTTATATCTGGTTTCCTCGAGTATATAAATGAAAGGTTCTTGAATTATTTTGTAACCGGAGAGCAGATTTGTGTGGCTGAGTCGACTGTCAAATTCAAAGGCCGCATATCATTCATTACGTACAATCCCATGAAACCTACAAAATGGGGTATTCGGGTTTATACGCTTGCAGATTCAAATACCGGTTAGTAAAATAGTTGTGCTATTCTGCTGTATTATGGATCTCTAACAACAGAAACTTTGATAAGACCCGATCTATCGGTATCAACCAGAATACCGCTTCATCTATACAAAATGATACAGGATAAAATTCCCGGTGTTCAGGGACACCACATGTTCATGGACCGTTTATATACGAGTTACATATTGGCAGAAGAATTACGCAAACAAAAGTGTCACTTAACTGGAACAATCATGACAAATAGAAAGCACCTGCCATGTGAAATACAAAAGCCAACATTTGAGAATCGAACCACGTGTGCATATCGTAAAGGTAATATTTTGGTTCTGGCATGGAAGGACAATAGGATTGTGACGGCTTTGACTACTTGGAATAATGCGGGAATAACTCCTGTAAGAACTCTGCGAGGCTAAGTCGTTATAAAAAAACCCAATGTTATTGTAAATTACATCAAATTTATGAGTGGTGTTGATCGAGCTGACCAACGGCTTCGACATATTGTTTTTTAAGAAAATCCGTAAAATGGTGGCGAAAACTATTTTTTTTTGGGGTTTTGGAGATCTGCTCCATCAATTCATACGTTCTTTATAAATCAGTAAAGCAGAGAAACAAATGGCCGCTTAGTCACCTACAATATTTGAAAACTTTAGTGGATCAACTGAGAGGAGACTTTTGACAAAAACAACCCAGCACAGCTTCTACTTCACACAGCATTTCTGAAGCGATCCGACTAAATGGGAAGCTGCATATTATTTTGATGGGGCAAAAAAAAAGATTGCAAGGTTTGCTCCCAAAGAACGTCCCAAAGGCGACAAACTGTATACTACTGTGACACATGCCCCGACAAGCCAAGGATGCATATTGGAGATTGTTTTGTAAAATATCATACAAAGCAAAATTTTAGAACTTAATGTTTAATACAAATGTTTCATAAGGGGAAAAAATATGTACAATGTTAAAATATACGAGTTTAAAGTGTTTTATTGTGTCTAAAATTATTTTAAGTTAACAATAAGGAACTCATGATATAAGTGCGAGTGGCTGATTACTCTCAAGTTGCTGGTTCACCCGACAGAAAAGCGCCTTGAACGCAAAGGGTTAAAATTACAAAATTGGACTTAACAGTAGCTGGTTTGTTTGCCTACCTTTTATTGTATGAATTCTCAAACCAGCCATATTATTCTGGCCGGTCTGTATAACACCAGTATCAAATCTTTCCAGTGTATAGTGTAATTTAGTTGTTTATTTCTATCGCAGTTTTTTTTTTTGGGGGGGGGAGGTCGTTTGTTTTTGTTTATTTATTTTTTGTTAAAGCAGTTAATTTTGTAAAGATTAGTTTTTTCTTTACTACGTGTTATGTGTGTTTCTTTTTTCATTAAATGACTACAGTTAAAATATTTCATTCGTGTTTTTACACAAGTGTCGTAATTTCTAATGTAGTATCCAAATCAAGCTGTTATTTTTATAATCAAAAATATGTTTTGGGACATTATCATTATTAATTTTAGAAGGTTGTTTAACAAGCAACGGTTTTAATTATTGTTGGATAATTATTATTAATTTTAGAAGGTTGTTTAACAAACAACGGTTTTAATTATTGTTGGATAATATTTTGTTTTTAATCTCTTTCTTCAAAGACGTTAACGAAAGCAAATGAGGACAATAAAACAAATAAAACCATTCCTTCCCTCAAATTTAATTAAATTATAGAAAGCGTGTAAAACTGTATATTACATGTAAACTGCATAGCATGTAAACTGAATAAAAGTAATAATTTCTACTGCTTTTATTTGTCGTTCACCCCCAAAATTTCTAAATCTGGGAAGAAATGAATTAATTTCTTGTTAAAAAAAAACTGGGTTTTGAGATACAAGTACAGTCAAAAGTCTTTAATCCGCACTTGTCGGGACTTCGGCGATTCTGGATTATTGATTTTTCCGGATTATAAATCGTCAGTTTAAATCTGGTAAGATGGCATGCAGAAATTATAAAATTAAAAATATGAAACCGTAATTTATGAAATGAACAATTGTGATCTAAAGGGTATCAAAATTTACAAAAAAAAAAAGCTTAATATTTATTTGTTTACTTTATTAAACATTTTCAATTATATGATATTATAATGACGAGGAATTTGATTTAAATCATATCAAAGACGGAGTCCATCGAGATGAAATACTACATTTAGTAAGGAATTATAAGCCAAATAAAATAAAAACATCTGCCCTGAAGATAAGGATAGTGCTGACAGGTCAACTTCCAGTTCATTGCGCGCCGCGACGTTTCCTCCCTCCCCGCCTGCAGAGCAGGGTGAAATTTATAAACAGATTTCAGAATGGTTAGAGAAACAAAGGACATGCCTTTATCTATTTTTTGCAGCAATTCCACTTTTTGTTTGATGGACATCGAAACATACTTTCACTTTGTAGATCCTTTGGCAGCTCCAGCATCGGAAATTCTATTTGACATAATCGAAAGTTCAAGCTTACTTTTATAAAATTGCTCTAACAGTCTGCAAAAAATAATAAGCTGGATCCAATTCGAAGATTAAGGAACAACGCAATCTGCAACATTAACTGAAATAGATAATTAGATAATTTTAGCTTAGCTTATACCGTCTGTTATCCATTAAATGCGCATGTGTAAACTTATTATGTGCATGCGTAAAAATATTACGTGCATGCGTGAACGCATTGTGCATTGACGTTTACGCAGAAAGTTTGTAGCTTTGAGGTCCAGATTATAGATCATTCCGGATTATGGGTGTCCGGATAAACGACTTTTGACTGTATATTGTGATGCAAATAAGAAAGAATTAAATTTCTAATTCAAAATGCAACTGTGCTTTGTTATGATGCTGTAAAGGTAGTATAGTATTAATCTTCTGTTTCTAATATGATTGGCCAATTTTTGGGTCATTCTCATTACTGAAGAAAAGACAAAAAATAACCAAAATGACAAAATATTGACTGCCATTTTTCTCATATGAAATTAAATCTTGGAATTTTTATTTCTCGTTCTTATAAAATTGTTTTAAGTAGTATTAGTCTGTTATTCATAATTAATATTACTGAATTTTTTCTCTTGAACTATTTTAAATCCCACAGGTTATATTTGAAGTGTGCTTCTAGCATATCAGGGAGTGGTAAAGCGTTTGTGACATACAGTTCAAGAAAATAACATATCTTCCTTCCCCCTAGTTTAAGGCAAAGTGTTGAAATGGCTGAAACTGCATTGAATTTTGGTCCTGACTGGTAGGACATTGTATTTTATATTTAATATGTATTAGCATAATTTTATTAAATGTTAAGTTTTTATGGCATATTTATATTTTCAAGAAAATTTCAGTTTTAATAAATGACAGAATATAACCTAATTAAAAATGTTTTATGTAATTAAAGGGTTTAGTCATTAAAAACATTAACCTTAAACTATAACTATGAAATTCCATATTTTCAGAACTATAATGCAACTGGTTCATTAATTTAATAGCTTTTTAATAGAGTATGGGAAATATATATTTTTGCTATAATGTGCATTATATCTAGTATAATGAAATGTTATTTTTTTTTCAAGCATGATTAGCAGTTAACATTTTTTTTTTTTTTTTACACTTAACCTTTAAAATTCTAAGAACCTCATTTTTTATGTTAAATAATCACATATTAGTTTTTTTTTTTCAATTTTTTTAAGGCATCTTAAAATTTATTGCAAGTACTGAGAATATTTTTAGTATCAGAGCAATGACTTTCTAGCTATTAGCAGCTCTACAGTAGATGCTTTGAAACCTAAAAAAATTTAAAGACTTTTTTTTCCTGTACAGAAAATTCTGAATGACTGTGCTTATGTTCATTAAAAATGGATGATCATTTTAAAAAAAGGTTCATTCTTAATATGTTTTATCAGACCATAAATTTATCAACCTGAGCTGTTTCCTGCAGTTGCTATGATCAATAAAAGTTTTTGTCACTAGGTGCCTGGTTTTAGAAACTAAATAAGTATTAATATAATATAAACTTTATTAAATATATTTATTTGGTTAATCTTTGGATTATAGTAGCTTGGCGATTTTTTGGCGAAAATTTGGCGACCAACTCTGCTACAGCAATCCTCTATTTTTTTTTTTCGCCGCCATTTTGTCTTCACGAAGTAAAGACATGTTTCTTTTCTTTTTATTTACTGAACACTTTTTCCAACAATCTGCTATCCGAATTACACTTATGCTAGAAATTTTATGGAACAAAACTGCTTAATCATGACAAATATTAACTGCAAAATTGGGAAAAAGTGCAGAATCGCAAACTCCTTGCCGTGTTTTTCAGAATCACAGATACACATAAACCATGTATACGTCGACTTATTTTTACTTAAGAAAACATCCCAGAATTGCACATAAATGGCATTGCACACACTCTTAACTTTATCCATCTACACTGCTATTTTCTCATAAATTACAAAAATTTGCACGAAAATGCACGAAAATTTTGTGAATCTTTAAACTCGGTAAAAAGCACGTATATGAAATTACCTGATCGCGAAAAATTATATACCCTTTCCAAGGATGAACATTTCCACGTATAAAATAAATAAAATATCCAAAAACTTTTACCTCTAAATTATCTATTATATTATAAACGTCACCAACGAATTTATACCGCAAACATTAAAAATGGTTACGAATACTTAGTGTCAAATATTTAAATTATTTCCATGCACGTTTACTTCAACTGAAACGTATACCAAATTGCTACAAACATAAAATTCACAAAATAACTATCATTTAATTAAAATATAACTAAACCATGTACACGTCGACTTATTTTTACTTAAAAAAACATCCCAGAATTGCACAAAAATGGCATTGCGCACTTTACCATATCCATGTACACTGCTTTTTTCCCATAAATTAGAAAAATTTCACGAAAATGCATGAAAATTTTGTGAATCTTTAAATCCGGTAAAAAGGACATATATGAAATTACCTGATTGCGAAAAAGTATATAATCCTTTCCAAGGATGAACATTTGCACATACAAAATAAATAAAATATCCAAAAACTTTTACCTCTAAATTATCTATTATAAACGTCACCTGCGAATTTATAACGCAAACATTAAAAATGGTTGCAAATACTTAGTGTCAAATATTTAAATTATTTCCGTGCACGTTTACTTACTGAAAACGTAAAATTCCAAATAAAAACAATAATAACATTAAAAATAAAAAATTAAAAAAAAAAAAAAATAATTAAATTAAAAAAAAAACTAAAAAAATATAAATAAGCACATACATTAAAATTAAAAAAATTAGCTTAAAATCCTAATTACTTTAACTAAATAATCATTGCTAATAAAACATTTTCCAATAATACCATATTACTTTATTTACTCCTTACATTTAGAACAATGCATAAAAATAATATCCTCAAATAATTAAAAAACTAAACTTACCTAATCTTCTTCAGAATCTTGATTACGTGGCGGATAAACTTTTCTTATTTCCTCCGCTAAATAAAAAAAGCAATCCTATGTGCGCCTGTTTCAGGATCTTTAAAATCATACTTATAGTTCACAGCAGCAAGATGTTGAAAACCTTCATCCTCCAAACAGACTTAATAAAACTTAATAAGCAATCTTTACTTCTATCTCGCACAACCTTAAAAAAACACTTATTACTACCCCTTTCAATCCCACTAAATACCCATTTTGAATTCACTTTAGATAGGGCCATGGGATCCAAAAATTAACCAACACTGTTTCACACAACACAGAATGAAGCTAAATACAAAATACTATACTGCAGATATTTTTCCAGATTTCCCCCATTTTCCGATTAAAGAACTGTAATTCATCCATTAATGACACATGACGTATCTCGTGATCTCTCATTTCCCTCACACAAAATAATGTACACAAAATAATGTGGAACTGAGTACTCACATTATTCCCAAAGTCCTAGGTAGTAACCTTTATCTTCTCCAAAATGTCGCCAAACTACCTGTTACCATATTCCAAAGATTAGCCATTTATTTTCATCATGTGGTATTTTAAAAAAATCTGCTAGCACCAGCAGATTTTTAACATCTGAGGTGAATCTTAAAAACATGGCTCCTGAATTATTTTTATTGTATTTTAATTTTTACATTTTGTCATGTTTTATCACCAAAAAATAAAACAATATTTTTTTAAAATATTGTTTTTTAAAAACTCTTTTTTTAAAATGCATCGCTTTAACTTTGAAATATGAAATAATCAGCAATTTAAAATTTTTGAGCTGTTTTGTTGTCCCATTTTGGGAATTCTAAAATTAAGGAAAGAATGCTCATTAACACATGCATTTTCAGGCTTCGTGCTTTATCTCATGGTTCTACCACATCTGCTCCTACAAGTCTTGGAATACCCATTCCAAAGTATAGCTTAGCAGAATTTCGGTATGGACGAGAAGAAATGTTAGCTCTGATACCGAAAAATACTAGTTTGCCCGATTGCTTGAATGAATTTCCACATTTAGTACGGGAAAAGTTCCAGATACCTCTAGCTCTTACATCAGTAACAGAAGAAGAACAGGTAAATAATTTTAATTCATAATTTTGCATTATTTTGCTTCAGATTTAATAGAATTGATAATATAAATTACTGTAATAATTTTAAATTTGAGCATACTGATGGCAAAACTAAAGAAACATACATCTGCAGGTTCTTTCATTTATTTAGAGAATTTGCATCTTTCTATCTTGGAGATTAATCTGTTAAATAATGAAAAATTTGGTTGTGTGTGTGTTGATATGTTCCTTACACTGACGGCACCTAGAGCTTATCAAATTTTGAATTCACATCATCCTCCATTCAAGCATGTATACCTCAAAAACTTGAATTTTGAATTTTATTTTTTATTTTATATTCTGTACAAATTTAATGAATTTTTTATTAACGAAATTGGCGATTTGAAAGCGAGCAGTGCAACGTTGTTGAAATAAAAAGTTTTTATCACAGCAAATGCCAGACTGTGGCTGTTCAGCAAAATGAAAGATTTCAGTTTTAATCAACAAACTGAACTGTTTAAAAGCGATGTTTTTCCACTGTCAGAAATATCTGTTTTAAGCAGCTGGCAATACTAGTGTCTAGTAGTTTAATAAAAATGCTTGCATCAAAAAGTATAATATTTTTTGGGTACGTACGTACTATCCAATCGAACTTGAAAGTTGGCTACCACTGAATATGAAAGTTAGCAGAGATTCCGTCAAAATTGCACCAGTTGTTGTGGAATTGTGAAGGAACTCACACCTCTTGATTTAACAATATTGGTATTTGACCTGCTTCACTTTTGCTCTCTATAAAAAAGTTTTTTTTTTTTTTTCTACTAATTTGTTAAGGCTTCTGATTTTACCAAAAGCTCTAGAGTATAAATTTCCCTCAGTTAAATTAATTATTCCAGTATGTTATTGGTTTGCGCCATATTCAGGTGACTGTATCATATCCATTAATACACAGTTTTTTTTTTTTTTAATGGTAGGACTCCATAACTTTGAAAATAATTTACTGCTTGCTCTTCTTTAGAAGGGAGGACCAGATTTTAATCATTTTCTTGAAATTCTGAGGGAACAATATAGCAATATATTTTTTCTTTTAGGTAATACTTAATTTGGTACTTTTCCATTTTGCCGGCACAAGCGATAAAGTCGCCAAAAATGGTACAACCAGTACCGAACGGAATGTCCTCGCTGGTAATCTCTCATTTTCAAATCAAGTCGCAACCATTTCTTATCAGATTGATTGTTTCTTTCAATACTGGCATACAATTACATAAAATTTTTACCCAGACAGTTCAATTTTATACCCTAAGGCCATTCTTGGTAATTAAGTCAATTAGGATGCAATCTCACTCCTCACCTGAAGTTGAAATATAGAAAAGGCAAAGTTAAGGGTTAAATTCATCACTAGCAAAGTAAAGCACTAGCACTAATGCACTAGCAAAGTAAAGCACTGCGGTTTTACATAATTTCGGAGTAAGTTATTCATACGAATTGAAATATTTCTTGCATTTATACTTGTATTCGAAATTAAGATTTAACTTGAAATTAATGTAAATAATTACTGAGAGAATTAGATTTTTGTAGCGTAGTTTACGTGAGATGAGATCACTTTACATCACGTAATAAGAAACTGCGAATCAGGATGTTGTACCATGAAAGCATAGTAAATTCTTAAATTAATGTCTTTTTACAAATCTATTGTCTTTTTACAAAATTTTAAGCTATATTAAAATGTTCATGCCTTCAAAATAAAAATTTCTTAGAACTAACATTTGTTAACATTTTTTATGTGTATACTGTGTGTTGTCGCCAATAAAGTCTGCTTGGCGAGATTTGCGCCGGCGAAACGGAAAAGTACTGTAATTTATATGGTTGTTTAGTTCAGTTGATGATGATGATTGGTCTTTGCCAATAGTTAACAGAAATTGTCTCTGTTTATCATTAACTAGATTTATTTTAATTTTAAATAATGTTATACCAGTTAACTGCTGGTAAAGACCAAAAAGGTGGCCTTTCCAGAATTAGAGTATCAGACAAAAGCGCTGATGTTATGAGTGTGTTGGGACATCATGCTTATCCATAATTGGCACTAATTTGTGCTGCTTGGCAACAGTTTCATGGTCTATGGGATGATACATAGGTACTTATTTCTTTTATTCCGCAGCCTATTCCTAGAGATGCTATGTGGCTAGTATCTAAGCGATCCAGATGAAATCATCTGTATTTCTTATCATATATCAGGATTTATTCCTCTGAAGGGTCTTCTTTCATTGATACATAGTCCAGTGATTGAACTGTTTGCATTATTCCAACATTGATAAATATGTTCAATAGCTTTTGAGCTGCCTAACAACACTAAACATCAAATGCAATCATGTGCGATTCAAAAACTCTTCACTGATTCTGCTTCCAAAGTGTCGCAGAAGTAGTAATTTACAGTAGTTTACTGTGACTGTTTTCTTTCAGAGTGTACTTTAGACTGTCAAACCTGTTGTGTGAGTTTTTTGGGCTTATCAAGTCAGAAGTGTGTTAATGCTTCCATTAAATTTCAGTTTCATTATAATATTGTTCATATTAGACCAGGAAATATTGAATTGGGGCTGACTAATCATACTGTGGGCTGCAGCTGCTTTATGTTATTTAGACTATCTCAGCTGTTCGTATACTTGTACAGAATATCACTTCATGAGATTAAAACATCTGGGGTGACTTCCATTTTTTTCTGCCATCAGGTACATGAATTGATATTTTTCTGCTATCAGGACTGAATTCTGAAAATACATGCATGTATGTATGTATGTGTGGTTGCATGTATATATATATATATGTCATAATAAGAGCAAAATATGTAAGATAAAAATATATGAATCAAAATTATAGATTAAACTATAAACATAATTCTTCCTCTCTATTCTAAAATCGTAATAACTTCTTTGCGTTGCGCCATTTCTAGATCACTCTATGATCGGCGCAACTCTGATGACGTAATAATTAAGAACTGAAACTGTCCTTGTAAACCAAAACTTTTCTCTTCGCGTGCTTCCATCTTTCATAACGACGCACTTAAGCTTTTGCTCTGTGCCGTGCTAAGATGTAATTTCGCTGGCTTGCTTTCTATTTCAACAATATCAAAAATGTAAATCTTCTGTGGAAAGGCACGACTAGAGTGCCAAGTGATTGTGGCCACAAATATCAATTGGAAATAAAAATGGAATTAAAACTGCCTCGACTGCCAAGTTCTTTTAATACTACGCAATCAAAATTCTTCTTCAATATGGATCTAATCATGCATCTGCAGTGTTCCGTCATTTCCTTGTGCTTTTATCTCATCACGCATCGACACTGCTCCGGGTTTTCCTTGCGCTTTTAATATGACATATATATATAAAGTAAGAAATTTAGAACTAATTTTTCACAAAGACCAAAAATTGAAATTCATAATTATTAAATTTCAAATAAATGCAGCAAAGAATTTTAAAAAATGTTAAAACCAGAACTTTTAAACAAGCAATACCCTCATTCAAAAAATTAATGAAATTTAAAGACAAAAGAACATAACAGAAGAAGAATTCGATCAACTTCAATGCCAATTTGTCAGGGGGGAGCAACATTGAAATTAATTAAAGTAGCTTTTCTATAAAATTCCTTGCTTTTCTGTATCCAGAATTAGCTGATGAACCATTTCAATGTATGTTTATTATAATAATTCACCCAAAAATTCTGGCCTTTTTCCAAAGCAAGGAAAAAACAAAGTAAATTCTAATTAGAAGCTTGTACTTTAAATAAAGATAATTCTATTTTATTTAACGACTATTATTAGCAATGACATTCACATGTCTCAGCTGCGATATGTGAAAACTGTGCATTAAAAACCGAATTTGTCATAAACTTTGTGCATAGCGCACGTGCTGAATGGTTAATGGGATTTGGGGGATATTATTTTAAATTGTTGAATTACCTGAAGTCATGTGTTCTATCACAGGTTACTTATTTAATATACATATATCATTATGTATATTAAATAAGATTAATATTAATAATATATACATATATCATTATGTATCATATGGTCCATTAAATTTCAGCTTCATGATAACATCATTCATATTAGACCAGGAAATATTCTATTGCAATCAGTTGGTCATATTGTGATCTCCAGCTGCCATGTATCATTCAGATATTTCTTAGCTCTTCTTGTACATAATTTCACTTCATAATATTAATGCATTCGTGGCTTCACAGAAAAATTAGTGTTGCTTGTCTGTGAAAGCCAAATTGAATCCCTTTACTTTTCAAATTGTCAGCAAATAGAAAGATGACTATGGTTAACAATAAAAGTGCACATAAAGACAATTTCAGTTAGAGTTCTGCACTGTTTGTGTGATCTTTTTGTCATATTTTTTTTAACCTTTTTTGGAGGGCTAGGGGTCAATTACAGATAAAGATTATCTTTCAGATTCTGAATTTTAAATTTACACGTTCAGTATTGTATTTTTGGAGAAAGAGGTTTAAAGTTTAGCATTAATTTATTTAGTATAAAATTAATATGCCATTTTTATGACTGTACATTTATTCTATAATTAAAAAGGTTTTGAGTGAAATATGACTTAGTTTTTTTGCATATGTGTAATAAATATAGTTATTTCCCTTTTTTTACCCCTACCCCCACCCACCAAAAAAAAAAATACTGTACTTTCTATTCTAAAATTAAAAAGAAAAATTCTATTTATGCTTATGGTTTAAAAAAAAACTTCTTTTTGATGCACATTTCTGAAATATATGGCTTTGAGTTAAGGGCTAGCAATTAATTGATGTCTTTATCCATTTATTGCATTATCGTGTAGTCATAAAATTAAGAAATTGGAAAATTTTTTATAATTAAAACGAGAAGGTGCGCACATGTATGTATAACATGTGTTATTTGTATCTATAGTTCTTAAGTATAAATTTTATGATGATTAGAACAAAACTGGATAATAATTATTCAGAGTGGTGTTAATATTTGAAGTCAGAATTTATAATCTCACTAGACTTTTTTATTTTTTCAATTTAGAAGAGAATCTTTATCAGTGTTTAGCATTATTGATTATTAATTTTGGATGTTCAACTAGTATCACAAAATTGGTAACTGAAAAGTTATTATTTAAAGGATAACAGTAAATATGTGTGGTCTGCATGACTTAATTGACAGATTATAGATCTCATTCCATTCATTGTTTTGCCAGATAATGATAGTTTTCTATTACTACATAATGATAATTTTTCATTTTAAAAGTATTAAATCTGCAAATAAAAAGTCATATGATGTATTTTCACAGGAAATATATGTATACGCAACACAATAAAATTGCAGGCCATTCAGAGAAAAAGAAAACTGTATAATCAGGATGTTTTTCCTCTAGGCCAACCATATATAGACGAGTGAATATTATTTTGTTATATTAAAACAAAATCTACATTTAAGCATTTTTTCCCCCTAATTTCTATTAACAAAATGTAAGCAGTCTTATTTCAACAAATCTGAGCATAAAAAGAATCCATTTTATACAACTAAGCCCTAAAACTAAATAAATGTCTCCTGTGATTGAAAATCAGTTTTTAAATAAGACTACCACAGACCTTAAAAATAAAGTGTATAAGAATATGCTTTGAGTGCGAAACTATAGTTCAGTAACTATAGATTTGAAAGTACAGTTTTACTTATCTCTAACTGAATATGAACTGTACAAATAACTTACTTCAGAAATACTTAAAAGAATCTCTGCTGCAAATACAATTTTCCTGGCGGGAAGAGCTGTTTAAAATCCAGCTTTCTCAAATTAAGAACTAAATTACTTCTTTATAAGAGTCTTATCTGTACTGACTTATGTCTTATCTGTACTGACTTATGTCCATGACTTATGTGTCGAAAGTTTGGGTGCTGAGTTTACGTGATGAGGAAGCTTTGGGGACTTTTGAGAGAAGGAGTTTGCATTGCATACTTGATGAGATCTATGTGAAGGGATTGTGAAGAAAAATATCTAATTTAGAGCTATAATAAATCTGTAGACAACCTCATGTTGTAAAATTCTTCAAACTACAGAGACTTAAATGGGCTGGTTATCTGGCCAGAATGCATGAAGCTTGCTGTCATAAGAAAATCTCTCTGGCAAAACCCATGGAACCAGACCTTGGGGTGGACTGCTGGGAGATGGATGAATTATGTTGAAAATGACCTAAACATTCTAAAAGTCAAAAACTGGAACACAGTTGCCAAAAGCAGAGATGCCTAGAGAAGACTTTGGGAGAAAGCTAGGGCTCATCCTGGGATGTTGAACCGTTGAAGAAAAGAAAGTTTTTAAATAATTTAAAATCTGTAAATGAAAGTATGTGCATATGATGCATTTTCATAGGAAATACAGTAGGGGCCATTTAATGTGATCACGTTTGTCCATGGCTATTTTGATAGCATTAAATAATGACAAAAAATATCCTTCAAAATAACAATGGAATTAAACTAATTTAATATAAATATAACCAAAAATATCTGAATAGTTACTTTTACAGCATTTTAATCGTGAAAATTCAAAAATTTATTTATGAACTGTTTATAATGTCTTTATTGCAAAAGTTTATGAACTTTTCATAAGGTTTCTGAAAATTATTTGACCTCTGATTGTAATACTCTTAGCACATCCTTCATTTGAAGAGAACGTGCCAATATAAAATTTAAAAGTAGGCAAAAGAGCAACCTTAATTTTGCATTAATGTTTTGAGAATTTTTTTGCTTCTGAAAAAGAGGGTCCATTGTTTGATCGCCCTTAAAATTGATACTGTTATTTGAAATCTGTGTCATACAAATTTTGTTTTTAACCTGATTTTAAATTGTTGAATAAAATCAAAACCAAGCTTAGTGGTGACTTTTTCTCTTGCACTTGGCAATTTTTATAATCTATTTTACTCTTATTTAGCAATTTTAGTTAAGTTTGAAATGTGTTATATAATATTTTAATTATATTAACCAAATTGTTGATCATAAGCAATGTATTTTCCATGTTTCTCATTTACAAGCAGGCTAGACTCAGCAATTCAGTAACAATATCTAAATGATAACATTACGATCACATTAGCTATTTTAATGTTGCTCAAAATAATCGATTCTGTGTATGAATTTGAATTATTATACAGTTTCTGTAGGATTGTATTGCAGCAGAACAGTATTTTGTAAAATCTTCACTGTTATATCATTTTTTTAAAAAAAAATCTCAGTACTTTTAATATAGCAGACCTGCTTATGGAATATTTGTAACAATTTATTTCATTTATAAATATTAAATGCTCCATATAATGATGGTTTTAATATTTCTGTCCAAAATAAAAGTATTTTTCATAAGTGAAAAAATCGTATTTTTATTTCAGCGAATCTGGGCAAGATGTGTAAACAGTGAAGCAGTTTTAAGAGCATCGGGTAAAACAGCACCTGGAAATGGCATGGGTAGGAGCGGTCGTGGAGGCTCTGTAGACAGGGGAAGAGGACGAGGTACTGTAATGCTTTCATTTTTCTTTCTTAGATTTAGACATAGTGGAATATTTAAAATAACTTTCTGTTGTATTTGTTTTTTAAGGAATGGCTAAAATAAATATTAAGATGTAAAAGATTTTATTTTAAATTTGTACAAAGTTAAGAATTGGAAGGTTATCATAAAATTTTGAATTTATATTTAAATGGAAAGCGTTATTAACAGTCTATTTAGCGGGAGCTGAGATAATATGCTTTTTCTTCCTGTTCTGTTTATCTGCTGACTACTTGGAAGCAAAAATTACACTTTTTGATGGTTTTTGAGTATTCCTTTTTTGGTATTTGCGTATTAATTGATACATGCCTGTCCATCACCAAAAATACACTAAGCATCAAAATTAAGGGATAACGAAAAAACATATACTAACCAATACCATTAGCCAATGCTGTAATTATCTATGTTAATTAACTAATTAATTAACTGTTAATCTATGTTAATTGAACACAAAATTCATTTAATTTATTTAATTTAACAAAAAAAAATATACTAACCAATACCATTAGCCAATGCTGTAATTATCTATGTTAATTAACTAATTAATTAACTGTTAATCTATGTTAATTGAACACAAAATTGCACTTCCATGCAAATGTTAGAATTGGATATATGCAAATTCGGTGATTGACAATGTGGTAAGCAATGGATGCATGTTGGAATTCTGACCTGTAGCATTGTTTAAAGTGAATGCGGTTTCTGAGAGTGATCAGTATTTATGGCTCAAAGGCTTCATTTAAGTTAAAGTGGCGAATAATTGGTAGAATCAAGGGGAGTCGAACACAAATGGCGGTTGTACAAGATTTGAATGTCTTTCAGAGTGTCATATCAAAGAGTTTTAAGTCACTTTTTAAGTACTAGATCAGTTGATAGACAGCCTGGTCAAGGATGAGCAAGATCAACAAATGCATCAGCACCATCTTACTCACCTGGCTTGAACTGATTCTGTATGTGTGGGATGCTTTAGTATGCCAAATTTTAGAATACCAAATTCCTCCCTAGCCCTTCCGAGAGCTGAAAAGTGCACTTTAGAAGAATGGTATGCAATTTCATAAGACTTCATGAACACTTTGGTAAAGTCTATGAAATCAAGATGCAAGGTTTACGTATCTCAGATGACCATATACTATATTAATTTTTTTTTCAACAAGAAGTGACTTAATTTTTTCATCATTTCTCAATTTCCATGAATTTGGTTTAAATTTCAGTATTTTGCAAATGTTCAACTGCCAAACATTGTAATTTATGTTAACTAATGCTTTTGTACAAATTTCTGTTAATTATTTTTCATTAACTATCAGTTAAGTTTTATTTCTATCATTATCCTCTAATTTTGATGACAAGTGTGCCCTTGCTTGTGAATCATGTAAGCATTCGGCAACCATAGAAAGCTGTTCCAGATACTTCTAGTAGTATGAGATTTGGGAGGGAGAGCTAAGAGAGAATGGCTTTATTATTATTATTATTATTATTATTATTATTATTTTCAATATCAGCTTCAGATAAAAAAAAAGCAAATGCATGTCTACTTTGCATCATTTTTTCGTAACATTTTCCTTACAGAAAATTCTTACGACAACATTTGCTTGTATTAATTTTTAATGCATCTTGTGTAATGTCTGTGTGAGATTTGTCAAAGAATAAAGTCATACATTATTCCATAGCATACTATTCTGCCCCCCAAAAAAATCACCTATTATACATTTTTGTTAATTAACCCTCTTAAGTAACAAGGCCGTATATATACGGCCTAGAATATTCTTTGTGATATCTGTAAGAACGTATATATACGTGCATATTAAAATATGTCAAAGAAATTAAGGCAATACAGCAAAAGTACACAAATCCAAGTATGTAATACCAGCAGCATACCTGCCAACTTTTACGAATTTTTCGTAATTTTTACGAAAATGCGTTTGTCTTTACGATTTTACGATCGTAATCCATTTTTTACGATTTTTTTCCTTTTTCAAGTGTTTTCACTGATTTTTGTCGAAATTTTAGAATTTTTCGCCATTTCAGCGATTTTCGCCAATTGCATCGTGTTTTACCGCCAACTACCGACTACTTTGAATCCAGTAACCTGCGGTTTCTCACAACTCGCCGCTTAACCAGCCAATCCAATGCGCTGAACTTGTTTGTCCCTCTCTTTTCTTTGGGGGCGCCAGATTATTTTTTTCGTGTTCGCTTCAGCAGCAAGGGAATTACTCATCTCGGACTGAGCGAGAGTGGATTGTCGCATTCTGTTTTTTTTTTTTTTTTTCTTTGCACGCGCTGCGAATTTTCTTAGTACGTCGTTGTTACGAAATGAGTTAAAAAAAACCGTATTCTCAATATTTTCGGCCAGCCTACAATTTCCAACAATTAAAGAATCCTTCAAAGGAAATAACTATGCATTTTGCAACGTGTGCGTGTGTGACTTCATAATAAGTCACGGTGAAAGAAGCGACATTGTGAAGCACGTTAAGTCTAAAAAGCATGAAGTTAATGCTTCGGCTTCGACAACGTCAAAGAAAGTGGATGATTTTTTTTTTTCAAATTCGGCTACAAATTCGGATGCCAATGTCATTTTGGCAGAGTGTTTGTTTACTGCATTCCTCATCGAACACAACGTGCCGCTAAGCGCTGCCAATCACGCCGGTCAACTTTTCAGTTGGATGTTTCCCGACTCCAAGATTGCTCGGAAATATGCTTGTGCTCGCACAAAAACATCTTCTATTGTGAACGAAATTGCTTGCGATGCACAAAGTAAAACGATAGCTGCACTCCAGAATTCAGCATTTTCGGTGTCAATCGATGGCAGCAACAACAGCGATTGGAAGCTTTACCCCATCGTTGTCACATATTTCTGTGATGTTTCTGATGAAATGAAAACTCATCTTTTGCGTCTTCCATTGTAAAATGGAGACGCTACGGGGGAAAATATTGCCTCCTTGGTAATTAAAGAGTTGAAACAACTTAACATCCCAATATCAAACTGCATTTCATTTGGTGCAGATAATGCTCATGTCATGGTGAGTGACAAAAAGGGTGTAGCCTCTTTCCTCAAAAAAAAAAAAACAAAATGAATTAACTGTTATTGGATGCCCATGCCACTTAATTAATGTGGCAGCAGAAAAAGCTTTTAAATGCTGAAGTGGCAAATTTGAAACAAATTGAAAATTCATCTTTTGAAAAGATTTGTTTTTTTATTGATAAAGTTCCATTTTTGTTAACAGTTAAAGAAAATGAATGCCATAATGATGCTTTAGATGAACTACAGAACCAATTTTCTGCTGCACAGTTTGAAGACTTTGCCAGTTCTGGAGAAGATACACTTGATGGCCTCGTTGGTACCTTAAAAAGAGCTGATGGAACACCAAAATATGATAGACTAGCAATAGTTTTATGTGCTGTTCTCGTAATTCCACACAGTAATGCTGAGTGCGAGAGAGTCTTCAGTGTTGTGAACTACAAAACAAAACTATGTTTCGTTCTTCAATTTCACCCAAAACTCTAGAAACATTTTAATTGCTAAATGTTATGAGGAAACTAATTGTTATGACAGGAAATTTTCCAAAGAATTTTTGGCTAAAGCCAAAAAATGCACTCTAAATTCATTGCAATAATTTTTTTGTGTAACATTAAGTTCTTGTTTTATGTTTCCTAATAAATTTTTTAGTTACTACTTAATTGAGTTTTTCTAATGTAAGTACAATTTTTTTTTCTATTTGTATAAATTGTTATTTTTTTAATATCAAAGCATGATATTAATTCTTCGTGTTCTTCTGAATTTTGGAGAAATCTTCTGAATTTGGGGGAGAAATCTGCTGAATTTTTATCTTTAGAGGTTGGCAGGTATGCAGCAGAGTTTTTACAATAAAATAATAAAAAAAAAAAAATGTTCTCATGGTAGTTTTGGGAAATTGTGCTTTCTTAGCGAAAACCCTGGCCGCTGAGAGGGTTAAGTAATAATGATGAAGTGTTAAAGTAAAAGCTGAGAATATGTTGGAGAAGTTATTTTCTTTCTTATTTAACAGAGTTCCTATCAAAGCATACTCTGTAGACAATAACAATCTGTTTCATGTTATTTTAATTGTGATTGGCTAAAATTACATGCAAGAAATCAAAAAACCTCTTTCATTGATCTGCTGACATTTAAAATATATTTCATTACCAGAAGCCAGCAACTGTTTGTTGATGATATACCAATTAGTACACAAGTACACTTTTTTGAAACACTTATTTACTTCAGTTATTTGAAAGGTTTTTTTTGGTAATGCAGTTAGTTAAATGCTCTCTTTAATGTTTTGTAAGGAAGTGATGTTTGTTAGAATTTCATATTAATATTTATGTTCAATGAAATAAAAACTGCAACCATAGTTCCTGATTACTTAGTAGTTAATCTTGTGTTTAATGAAATAAAATCTGCTACCATAGTTTCTGATTATTTAGTAGGTAATCTTTCTCAAGTTTGTTTTTAGTCTGTTTCAAAAGCTAATTTTGTCTGTATTAGTGTTATAAAAGTAAGTATTGTAATTTTTTTTAATGAATAGATTTTTGGGTTGTAGTTTAAGGCTGAATAAAATGGAAGCAGACTTTAGATTGTACCAGTTTCAAATGAATGATATCTTCTAATAAAGGTATGTATAAAACTGGAATTTTTATGCAGTCCCTGGTTAAAAAATTTTAGTGTGAAAAATATTTTTCATAATAAGAATGCTTCAACAAAAGTCACTTATTCTCACATGGTCAAGATTATGAGAAATTATTTGAAGTAGACACATTTTTAAGTGCTGGTAAGTCATTCAAAAGCCTTTTCTTTATGTTTTAACAATCTCTGTATATAAGATATATGTAGCTTTCCTCATATGTGATGTAATACAAGGCAGTTTATCTTAAAAAGTCCTTCACAAAGCTGCTCTTTTTAATAGGCAGATAGCTTTAATGTGCTTTAATAGAGTTGTGTAATTTGATGCAATCTATTGAACTTTTCAGATATTGCTGCAGAAAGCTTTAAGTTTTTTTATTTAGATATATTAAATGTACTTTTAAAGCTATTAATTTATGATTTTCAGATTATCACTGATTTGTAGAAGTATGTTTTAATCCGAAATCACTGTTCTTTTCTCCACTCCTAAATCACTGTTCTTTTCTCAACACTTTATATATTAGAACTAATGGGATCAAAATGTTTTACTGATTTATTTTTTATCCCTTTAAAACAATTTGGGAACTTCTATTTTTATCCTTGTATCCTTTTGTTAGCCATATCTAAAAGTGTTGCATGTAAGAAAATCTGAAAATTTGTACACATAATAAGCCAAAAGTAGTTTTACATATTCTAAGTTACCTTTTATAATAGATTAATATTCAAATTAATGAGTTGGTTTTTGTAAAAATGTTGCCAAATCTAATCTATCTAAATTGCATTTATTTATAAGTAGTATCTAGAGAAAAATTAAAGTTCATTTGTCTAATTTTCAAAGTGTTTCTGTATTATGCATTCATTTTAACTTGACTGAGTGATGCAACCTATTTGAATGTAAATTTTACTTTTTAGGACGTGGTGGTTATTATCAAAGAGGTTTAACATATGAAGACTCGGAAGATGGTCCACCATCAAGTTATTCACGTCCAAAGCCTATTGAACGAAGTCAGAGTGCCAATGAGAAAGATCAACGATGGGATGACAGGTTAGTAGCTTGTATACTTTTTAATTTTTATTTTTGGTGATGCTGTTTGTTGTATTCACATGGTTAATATATGTAATATTCATTTTTCTAATCATTGCCACGTGAAGTTCTATGATTTAGTTATTCAAGAATACTGTTAAGTTTTAATGTTTATTGAAGATTGGTAGATATTTAATCTCTGTACTGAAACTAATGTGGTAATTATGTTAGGAATTTTTGCCTTGATTGCATAAAAATCCATAGTTTTTCATGAAAATGTTACGCTCTATAGTAATTTATTGATTATTTGCATAAACAGCAGCACCTAAGAGACTGGGCATCTGTTCAATAGATAATGAGAAGTTTGGGTGTGAAGCCATGGTTGTGGATTGCTCAAGTCTTCTCATTATCAGAACTGAATTCATGGATTCCATTTTGCTGAACAATATTCTAGAGAGATTCATCTAAGTTTAAAAGTGGTTACATTGGAGATCTCTTAAATGGCTTTTGATGGGTGTTTTTCATATGATGCTTGGGTATTGATGAGGGAGTGTACTATAGTGTTGAAATAAACTACCTTTTTCAAGATATATGGAGCTTATGTAAGGATATGTTTGTTACCACAAAGTAGAAACTTCTCTAAAGGCATCGGGATCTAAAGTCTTGCAAGAAAGCTTCATTCATCATGACTAAGTTATTATTGCATTGCGGCAGACCACACAAAAATAAGAAATTCGTGTGTGGGGCTTCCCTCACAAGTTGAAGTCTTTGAGTTGTTACAAGGTGTGAGATGACAGGTTCTGACATTTCAGAAGCAATAATTCATTTAATTACTGCTCCACTTGACATTACAAGAATCAAAACTTTATGACCGGTGTGAAAGGACTTTTGTGATCTACACCTTGTCTGTCACCAAAGCCTCTCGATTTTATGGAAGCTAAAAGACCAATGATCCTGTTTCTATTCTGATATTGTTTCAGTTGCAACAAATTGGAAATTGGGAAATACAGCTAAAAAAATTAAGACATCATAACTTATTCAGTCTGCAGACTGTTTTAGATAAGACAAAAACTCAGAATACTCTTAAACTTTAGAGAGATTCTTGCCGCCATCAAGATCCTCACATAATGAGAATAATAATAATTTCTGTACCTCAATGTTGTTATATATTGTAATTCAACTTCTCATAGATTTAATTAAATGTGTTTTTGTTCTATGTGCAGTAAGTAATACACAACCTTAACAAACACAAACAACACCAGTTACCACATGGAGTCATGCCATCACCCCGGTGGTGCCCTTTCAGATCTAACAGGAACACACACCTCCTCTACTCACCCACCTGAGGAAAACTGACAAACCGCATCACTCTTGCTATCCACGGTGCCTCACTCCGTAAATGTTTGACGGGCCCAGCTAGCCATGCACAACTAATGGAGCTGAGCAGCCCACAAATGCAATGATCAATTACATCAATACAGGGCTCAAAATATTGTGACAAGTCATCCCTCTTTATTGTGTGCAGTACTCCATACATCACAGTGTTTGAGCTGTAACAAGGAATGAGATGACAGGCTTTGGCATTGCAAAAGCAATATTTCATTGAGTTAAGCTCCACTTGACACATTACAAGAATCATAACTTTACTATCAGTGTCAAGAGATTTTAGTGATCTGCACTGTGTCTGTTACCAAAGCCTCTCGATTTCAGGGAGGCTGACAAACCAATGATCCTGTTTCTCTTTTGATATTGTTTGAACTATAACACATCAGATGATGCAAAATACAAAAAAAAAAAAAAAAAATCAAGGGTGTGACTAATTTAGACTGCAAATTGTTTTAGACAAGGCAGAAACTCAGAATGCTCTTAAACTCTTCCCTAGAGAGACTTGTCTTTAGCAAGATCCTCACATAATGAGGACAGTAACTGACAATAATAGTTTCTGTGTCTTCAGTGTTGTTATGTATTGTAATGCAACTTCTCATATATTTATATTAAATGTATTCTTGTTCTATATGCAGTTTGTAATCAGCAGCTTTAAGGACTGTAACCAACACCAATTACCACATGGAGTCATGCCATCAATGCAGCATATCACCATCAACCCACATTGAACATAGCCATCTTGGGTAGAGTGGATGAAAAGTTTTGTGCGGTCAATGTTATATCAGTATTCTCCTATCAGATATGTAGAGCAGAAAACTGAATTCATCTGACCATGCAAAACAGCTGCAAAATGTTCGCTTTTGATGTTCTGAAAGTTAGGGTGTGTTGAGTAATATACATTTGATGTTATATGGGAGTTAAGATGCAATTTTATATACTGTATGATCACTGACATTATGTATACCTCAACTACCGACTGTCACGTATTTCTGCAAGTGTCCTAGGACGTTTTAGAAACTATAATTTCTGCCACAAGATGGCACTGTATGTCCATATGGTTTCAGATACATGTACATTAGACCTTCTACTCGAAATGAGAGAAGCATGACTCACGTACACGTGTTTTTGATTATATAAACAAACGGGGAACTAAATGTTTCCGAATGGCGTGATTTATGAGGTCTCTTTAAATCGCACTTATTCGCACATGGTAGTTGTTTATGTAAGTAGAAGTTTTATATGCGCTAAGCGTGAGTATTTCGGTTTGGCAGTTCAGTTTTAGAAAATAATTAGATCTTGTTAGACGTGAATTCTTTCTGTTTTTACTTTTGTCCAATGTCGAAGCGTCGAAAATGTTTAAAACAGAGCAGAAATAGCAGAAATGATGCAAATATTTCAGATATTGATTCTGATATTCTGATATTGATTCTGAAGATTAACTGAAAGACATTTTCCAAAACTTTGTTCAGAGACGATAAGAAAATGAGACGACGATGCTTCGTTTGTTCACATTCCCGGAAAATCCTCCAAAACGGCAAATGAGTTATTACGAGTGCAAGGAATGTAACGTAGGACTGTGTGTTGATCCCTGTTTTCAAATTTTCATACGAAAAGAGAATTTTAAGTAATATATTTAGTTTTCAATGTATACTGTTAAAAGTCATAAAATGGTGAGTAATTAAAAATAAAATGTGTAGAATATGCATTTAAATAAGAAATAAGGTAATTAAAGTATATATATATAAATATGTATAAAGCATAGCCGTTTAAATACTCTATAGAGCATTATTAAACAATGCGTTGATACTTCGGAAATTTCATGGATTTAGGCTTAGTAGCAAAAAAGCCCCCGGCCCTGGAGAGACGCTTGCGTAAGACACTGCTGGCCTCCGCGATAAGTGCGTGTTTTCGCTACCCGGCTCAAAAGGGTTAATGATTGGTAACTGCCATTTAAACTTACTTGGTACTGTAATATCCATTGATAATATATTATTGGTAGACTTTTATTGTGGTTAGTGAGGAGAACTATTAGTTGTTACCACTTAACAGATAGAATGCCTCACCTGTCTTGTTGTGACATGATGAAATTGCCACAATTATCTGTTTTTATCTATTGCAATACATTTTGAGAAATGGTAGATTATAATTTGTGTTTGATTTGGACATTCAGTTTGCTCAAAGTGCTAGCATACCTTGTTATTGCTGCTTTAAATCTTTTGTTCATTCAGAATATTTCTTCTGTGGGTGTATTTATGTACATTTTATAAGCACTCTTACTGATGCCTTGTAAGTAGACTAATAATATACTGCTTTCATCTGCGAATGGAGTAGAAAAGGAAAAGCTGTACTTTTTTTGACTTGGTGTGCAATTTTGATTTTAAATAAATATGCATATTTTTTTTATGGTAGAAAATGTTTCAGTACCTGGTGAGATTTTTGTATTGAAATATTGAAGATCTTAGACCGAGTAAGCTATTTTAGCAGGGTTCGTAGCAGTCTTTACAAGTTCTTATAAGTCCTTTATATTTGAAAATAAAATATAAAGTCTCTTAGGTGCTTACTTTTTCTTTAAAGCCCTTATTTTTTTGGTTTTTAGTGTTTATTTTTTGCTTTTAGTGCTTTTTTTTAATCCTTTTTTTTTAATGAATGCGCATTTTTTCCCGGTACCAAAGCCGAAACTAAATAAACAACTAAGCAATTTCTCGTCTTCTGATTTCAGAAATGTGCCTCTTTAAATTACTTTGCTTGGAATATATGTTAAGGGAAAACTGTTATGCAATGAAAATTAGAAATGTTCAGAATTTTGATTTTTAAATTATTTTAAATATAATATGAGTGGAAAAATAAAATTTATTATTAGCTTATATTAGTATTTTCTATGTTTTGAACTGAAATTATCACTAAACTGTGTAATATAGTTTAGTTCTGCATAGTTTTTTTTCTCTCATTGTAAACTAATTCTGTAATGAATTTCATTTAAAATTAAAAAAAAAAAAAGTTAAATGTTTTCCATGGTTGAGGTAATGCTTATTCTCTTAATAAATATTGCATTGCTCATATTTTAAATTACAAGTCTAATTTTTAAGGTTATGCAGTTTTGTATAATGTAATTAGACAGGTGCTTATTTTTTCCTTAAAATGTGCTTGAAAAGTGCTTATAGGTGCTTGTTTTTTAACTAAAATGTATCTACGAACCCTGTTTAGTGATGCAAATTAATAATTTGTTTCTTACTAATTCGTACAAATTGTATAATTTCTAAAAGTTATTGAGTATGTAACTTGTGACTTGAGACATTAGTAATATTTTTTAGTGCAAAAGTGCTTCAAAAAATTGACATATGTATTTTTAGCATTCATAAATGAGGTGTTTATTGATGTTATTTATTTTAAAATCATTTATTCATTACTTGATGGAAATTTAAGTTTTAAAACTTAGTTTTTCCTATGATCCTAGCATGTTTTATTAATTTTTAGCCGTATCGATTTCTTTCTTCTTTCCTCATTAACATCAGAATTATTTTTTAGTAATCAAGCTTTTGATTTCTATTCTTGTTAAGTATCCTTATGTTCCTTTTCTGCATTTTAGGGACCGCCGATTTGATCGAACATTCTCAGGTACTTTTATTTTTTAATAGTCTTAATAAAAGAATTCTAACTTCTTAAGAAATTTTACTTGTAAGAATTGCATTTGCCTTTATGAAGTAAGTGCTTCCATTTGAAGGTCGAGGTTCAGGGCTAGATGACAATGCAGGGAAGCCAGATTTAATCCGAGGTGGTAGTGACTACTGGCGGAAGTATGATAAAGATGATGATGGGGATTGGCGCTCTTCTGGGCTTCGTAATTCTGATAAATTAGGTAATGAATACAAACATGTATTATGTAATAATAGTGTGTAAATGGAATTGAAAAAAACTTTCGTGTGTCTATCAAGTGTGTGGCACAGTTCATGAGTAATTTGTATTGTTGATATTTACAGGGATTGGACAAAAATATGGAAACACCTTTAAAAAAACATGTTTGTTTGCTTAATATGATGTAGGAAACCCGTTGGCATCCAAAGCAGCTTGCAGTCTTCTCGGAATGGATAAATACAGTTCCTGTATATTTGCCAAGGGAATATTATACCATTCTTCCTGCAAAACAGTGGCAAGTTCAGATAACGATGTTGGCGGTGGATAACGAGAACGCACTTTCCGTTCCAATGTAGACCACAAAGGTTCGATAATATTCAGGTCTGGTGACTGTGGTGGCCAGGGGAGATGGACAACTTCATCCTCGTGCTCAGAAAACCAGTCCTGACAATGTGAGCTGTGTGAACAGGGGCTTTGTCGTCTTGGAAGACACCATCAACATCGGGGAACAAAGTTTGTACCATGGGATGAACTTGATCGGCCAAAATGTTCACATAAGTCTTGGCAGTCATGTGCCCTGACACAGTTATCATGGGGCTAGCAGAGAACCACGATATGGCTGCCCAAACCATAACAGAACCCCCGCCATGTTTCACTCTTGGCAACAAGCAGTCTGTATTATAGGCTTGAGATGGCGTTCTCCAGACGTAAACTCGGCCAGAAGTGGGAAACAGTGTGAAAGAAGACTCGTCAGACCATATTACTCGCTTCCACTGCTCTATAGTCCAGGCTTTATGACTTAAACACCACCTTTTCCTGTTACGGGCATTAGCATCACTGATGAGTGGCTTCTCAATTGCAGCACGGCCAGCAATTCCCTGTTATGAAGCTCCCTTCTAATTGTTTTGGTACTCACAGGGTTCGGTAACAACAACATTCATTTCAGCAGTAACTTTTGCAGCTGTGGTTTCTTAGTTTTTCGTCACAATTGCCCTTAATGATCGTCTGTCACGATCGCTCAGGACACACTTTCGTCCGCGCTGTGATTTAGCAGATGATGTTTTCCGCTTTTCAAATATGCGGAATAAATCTTCGATACAGTACCTCTTGAAACACTAAACACCTCGGCTACCTTGCTTACGGAAGCACCTACCATACGTGCTCCAACAAATTTGCCACGTTCGAAGTCTGTTAACTCTGACATAATGCTATGACAACCTCACATAACGGTACTCCCGACAACAACTGAACTGTTTAGCACATTTACGAAGTTGTATAGGTGGCGTCAGTAGTCAAAAACGCCAGCGCCACCTACATATTTCATTAAAATCAATCTTTCTTTTCAAACATGCATTTCACTAGGTGTTTCCATATTTTTGTCCATCCACTGTACTTTATAATTGGGAAACAATATGCAGCTACTTGCCCTTTGTAAGTATATGTACTTAATTTTAAAAAAAGTGTAGTAAATTGTTGATACAATATTATTTTTAGTAAAATGTAATGAAAGTAATGAAACTATTCTGTAAAAATGTGAATGTGAATGTAGGCATACATTTTGCATACATTTACAATATATTGCAGTCTTGAATATAGTATGATTATTAAAATCCAAGCCAAGTAGATTTAAGTTAAAATAACATGCTGAATAAATATTAATTTAAAAGTCGTTTGTGAAACCATCAAAACTAGTCGTGTGAAAATTTGCAAATGCAACACTAATTTTTGTTGTTTGACTTCTAAATTAACAAGTAGATTATTTAACACTGGTGTTAAATGTGGATGATTATTAAATCTTGGTAGTTGCATTTCTTAATAAATATACAATGGGTGATTGGACTGACTGCTCTCATGTTTTTTTAATTTTCTGTATCAGTCAGAAAGAGTTAAAAGATATGGATGCCTTCAAATACTTTTTCTTGTTTGATTTATAAAACACATTAAAAATAATCTGAATTAAAATAAATGTATATGTATTTTTCTAAGTATGCAAAAGAAGGGGAAGAGGGATTATCTAGCAATGCTGAAAGGAATGCATGATTTGATTTTTTTTTTTTTTTTTTTTTATAAATTTTTAATAATATGCTTGGATTGTGTGTACCATATTAGCAGCAGGTGTTACTGTTTCATTATCAGTAAGCTCTATTAGTGTATTTACTTGTGTGTAATGTGAAATCTTTTGCTGCATGCGATTCAGAGTACGAAGTTATGAGTCTAATGTTTTACTGTTTTATTCTTTCAGCAGCTTTAAAGTTAAGAAATATCTACTTTTTATCCCAAAAGGGTGTTACCCCAAAAAGGCTATTAATTTCGTTTTGGCATTATGTGTTGGTTCACTGTAAAAGTCTGAATCACTTTTCAAATTGTTGCCACCAAATATTAGAGCCCTGCATTACATTTAAAGAAATTAAATAATAGAAAATTTGCATGAATGCTTGTATGTTTCTCGCATTGTGAAAAAAACAATAGCGCTTATGCATGAGGTTTCTTAGCATTTCTTACTGGTGTTGGTAGCATAGCAATGCAAAGATGTTACAATGTCTAATAGTATTTTGCGTCAAATAACTTTGAATGTCTGTATCATTTTTCAAATTCTGTTTTGATCCCTCGCGAAAACACTGCCCCTTTGGGCATAATATAAAATATGAAAACTTTCAGATTTGTTATTATTATTTTAAGAAATATGTGGTAAATAGGTTTCCCTAGTGGAATGTAATTGAAGATGTCGTGAGAAAATTTCTTGTAGCTTGTGATAAGTGTATCTAAGAACATTGCAATCAAAATAAAAAAGCTGTTAGCAAAACATAATGTCTGTGGCTCATGACTTTGTAGCTGAAAATTGCTCAGTTTTGCCAGAAGGTTAAAGAACTTTTGCTTTCTTTATTAAGCTGAACATAGAAATAAGGAGTGTTTATCGTGCCATTATATTTGTAATTTATTTTGTGTCAAAAAATATGAAGAGCAGTCCCAGAATGAATGCATAATTTATGTTATTTTAGTCAATGTGTTAACTTATGCTTTTGGCTTGCAGAAAAAAAAAAAAATATTATATATATATATATAATATATATTTCATCCGTATGTTTTGTTTATTATAATCATTCATACTTTTCTATTATTTGAACCGGCTTCAGAAATGGATGTATGTGTGTATATGTGCATGCATGCATGTACGTACATATACATGCATATACACACACATTCCTGAATGCGGTTCTGATAACAGAACAATGCCTAATCATCCTATTTATTCAGACGTTTATTTATTGGCAGATAATTTTTTTACCTCTTTATCTAAAGGGGGAAGAGGATCCTGGAGAAATTCAGAAAAAGACCGACGAGATATTTTAGATCGAAATTCTCAAAATCGTAACATCAATGGAATTGTTAAAGGTGGTAGTCAAAATCCCCCACAAAAAACAGGCAGTCATCATTCTTGGAAAGATGATGGGCAAGGTAACTATAATTTGAATAAGCAGTATTTCTGACAAATTACATACTGTGATTAATTCCCAGTCCTGCCACATACTGCTATTTGTTTTTGTGCTTTGAATGTGAAATAATATCGTGGAATCAAATTGCAAAATTGCATAGTAATTTTGTATAATTTTCTTTCTTCCTAATTTTCATATTTTAAAAAGTATTCTTTCAAGGGCAAAGAAATTACATGAAAGAATAACTCTTTTTATTATATAAAGTGTTAAATTCATTTTGGGAAATATATGAGGTATGTGATATTTAAAACTGAGTTTAGTTGATCTATATGATATCTGTTAGTGATTTGACCGCTAAAAATTTAAATCTGTATTTCCTAATAAAAAAGTAAGTGCTTGTAAAACATTAAATTATTTAAAAGTTTATAATTTTTTTTTTTTTTTTTACCTTTTTAAAATTATTTCCTGAAAGTTACAAAACCAGTACTTGTGCTTATGAACTTTTTTAAATTATCATAAAAGTGCTTATGCTTTTATGACAGTGAAATACCAGTTAATTGTAAATTGTGCATTCATATGCATTTTTAATACATTGCAGAAGATATTAAAATTTATCAATTATAATTATTTTTGAAGGTAATAGTTTGCCTGAATGGAGTGTTGATGAAGCAAGTGAACCAGACGTTGTTGGTACATTTGATTCAAGTGGTGCATTTTTGGAAACAAAAGTATGTATGTACGAAATGATATTTTGATATGATATAAAATAAAGAATCATATTTTTTACTAATGTTTATTTTATTCTAGGTCCCAGAGAATACTTCTTTGGATGAAATATATGTCTCAGATGAAGCTGATGAAGGGACATTGAAAGTAATTTTTTAGAAGCATATGATTAATTAATTACCTTAGTCTAAAGTGTGATTGATATTATATAATGGAATTGGAATTAAAGATAATAAAAGGTGTGATGGCCTTTTAAATAAATGCTTGATTTGCACACGTGAAAAATAGTTTTGAATTTTCAAAAATATTAATATTTAATTTTAGGTTAAAAGTTTGTCAAATGTAAGGTAGGTTGTTGAAAAAAATTAATTAAGGAATTAATACCTCTCTCCCTATTTATGAGATAACAATTCGAAACCTTTTATTTTTTAATACTATCAAATGTTTGTTTGTTTAGCAATGTTTGAAGATGATTTTTATATCATGATTTGCTCTTAATTGGAACTTATATTTGAATGTTTTATCTGAGTAATAAGAGGTCACCAAAAACATGGCCGAGTCAAAATAAATTTTCATGAGATCTCATCATTTTGAGTACTCTCATTATTAAGTGATAATTATCTAGAACTACTGATTTCTGGTTCAGTTGATAAGAACAGTCTCTTTTCAAGTCTTGGATGAAGTCATTATATAGTGATGTATTTAAAAGTTAATGCTTAGAAATACAATTAGATGCATATACTTGATTTAATTCCATTTTTATTGATATCTTTTATTGTAAAAAAAGTCATGTAATACAGGGTGCACTAATAGAATTGGCAAAAATTTAAACAAATTTCGGTTTGTACTCCATCCACTCACGTATGCCATACATTCCTTTGATGTGTAGGCCAGAGCTAAAGGCATAAGATCAAGCTAAACACAGAATGAGGAGCTCCTGTTTCTTTGAAAACAAATCTTGGTTGCAAACCAAATTTTGTATGAAAACAGATGACTATAGTCAAGCTCAGCTGTGCCAGCACCCATGGCTGGGAAAACTCGAGTGCTCAAGGATAAGATTTTTGCCATAACACCTGATAAATATCCCAGTTCGCCTGACGTGCAGTTCTTTTGACTCATAAATATATGGTTTTATTGAAAGAATTAATAGTAAGACAGCCTGGGAAAACTGAGGCAAAGAATCAGTTAGAAGTTTGTCTTCTGAAGTTATAAATTACACACTTTCTTCTTTCTGAGGTCATCTGGAGGCTGTGATTGATACTGAAGACAGCATCATTGGATAAGTTCCATCTATAAAAAATTTCTTTGCTCTTAATTCTGAAATTTTTATAAATACTTCAAATTATAACTTTAGAAAGGTAAATATATTTTCCACACTAGTTTTGTTTACGCATCTTGTATATATGTGATGAGATTTATTCATTTTCTATCTAAGCATTTATGATACCAGAAAAATAGCTGTTGAAAATTTACCATGTTGTAATATAGGTAACTAACATCTCTTAATCTGTTCTCTTTTTTTAATCTGAAAAGTATATTCCATTTTCTAACTATGTTGATATTTTATTTGGATAAAGAAAAATATAGATGAAGAATGTATGCTGTACTCTTTCTAAGTATGTTACATTTGTTTAAAATACATGAATAATCTTTTTTCAGAATAGCCCGGAAGCATCTAAGAGTAGCTCAAAGAAACTACAGAAAAAATCTTCAAATTCTACAAGCAAGCAGACTCCAGCAAAACGAAATTCACAATCTGTGAATACTGAAGAAACTGTTGTAGAAAAACATCCTCATCAGCCTGTGTCTGAGTCATGTAAAAATATTTCCAAACCCCCTGTAAAAAGTTCAGCTGAAATATTCACAGATAATGTGATAAAAACTGGTGTGAGCGTGGAACAAGTAAAAAAAGTCCCTGTTTACATCCCTGTTACCTCGCCAAATGTGCCTGATGATATTGTAAAAAGTACAAATAGTAATAGTACTGTTGTGAATAATGTGAGAATACCAGATGTCCCAGTACCATCCTCTGGGATTGCTGAAGAAGATACATTTGCTCATCATAAAAAAGCCACAGAAAATATGGTGGCACAGTGGACAGAAGAGGTGATACATTCTTTATATTTGCTTTCTACTTTAAATTAATTATCAATGTGATATAAATATTCAAAGCTCAAGAATTCTGAAATATTGAGTAGTTATGGGACTGCTTAATTTGCTCGATGAATACGAGCCAGTTTCCCTTAAAATGTCTTCCATGAAGCTATCCCCATAACTATAATCTTATTTTGCAAATTATATACTATATATATATATATATATTCCTTATTTCACATATTTTTACAGTTGTCATAATATAAACTGCCACAGTTAGTGACGTTTAATGAGTGTGCATGTGCGTGAAATGAAACATTTTGACCCACATATTTTAAGGTCTAATAGTGTATTTGCTTTTGTGTATTGTATTAACTATATGGGATTGTAAAGTAATTTAAAAATTTGAGCATTTAAGCATTTATTTTTTCCTGAGAAAGTGCCCACCAGCGGCCGAGCGGTAACGTCGCTGAACCCTGGTTGTTCGGTCTGAGGTTCGAATCCCGCGAACGGGCTGGCTGCATGGGCGTTTTCGTGGTTTTCCCCATGTGTAAACGTGTATATGAGCCAGTTTCCCTTAGAAAGTCCTCCACGAAGGCATCCCCTCCCTTAAGGCAGATAGCCCTCGAGTGCTTTGCAGTAATCTAATAAAACCCAACCAACCAAATTTTTCCTGAGAAAATATACATAATAGAAATGTTCTGCAGATGTTAACATTCTAAAGATAGGGCTCAGTCTGTATCCTAAATCAAACTTGTGTTATGTGTGAGAAATACTAGTTGGTAATCACATAAAAAGATAAAGTTCTACAGATGTTAACATTCAAAAGATGGAACATGCCAGTTGATATCCTAAATAAAACCCATGCTGTCTGTGTGAAATGCTATTTAGTGTTAATAAAAAGAGAATGTTCTGCAGATGTTAACATTCTAAAGATGGAACGTGCAATAGGTGTTTTTTATAAAGGGAGACTTTCTCAAGAAACGGGGATTTTTTTTTTTTTTTTTTTTTTTTTTTTCCTTTTGTAGCTGGTGAACCAAATGAGATATGGATTCAAATTCAGAATATGCAAATTTTTTTGAGAGCAACTCCACTTTCAGTATTTTACAATACACATTATTGTCATTTCACATAAAATGCTTGTTGGTATTTCTTGTAGGCAGTGTACATTTTATTATATCAATGTACAGATAACAAAAGGTAATAATAAATTACAAAATTAGGTATGTGTGTGTGTTGTCATCCAACACACAATTTGCTATGTGTTTTGTTGTATGAATTGTGTCCAATAAATCCATAATTTTTTTAGATATTGGGATTAGTTGTTTGTTAATATTAATGAATGTATTTTAATGAACAATTTAGTTTCTTTTTAAAGTAATCAGTATCATAAAAGATTGTTTAAGTATTTATGAAGTTTAAGAATTCACTTACTATCAATGTATTTCATGTTGTTATAAAGAACATACTTCTGTCTCCTGTCAGTCTGATTAGAAATGTTCATTACCAAGTAATGTCAGACATGTTAGCATGTTACCTCTGGATTCTCTTCTGATTTCTCAATAATCAGTCAGATTCTATTCGATTTACTTTACTGAAGATGACGCTTAGTGTGTCTCATCTTCAGTACTGCAGTTCCAACTTCAACTTGTGCATAATAGCTGAAATGTCTTTCAGCATTTGCCTTGTTGTTAATGCTGAAATTCCTAGCACGGAAGCTTTTAAATAGCTTTGACTAATATGTACTGGTTCTTATTTTATTAAATATTTCACATATGTTTTATATATATATATGGCAGTTATTATTGCTTTACTGTTATTTTCAGATAAAAATGTGTGACGTGTTTCTTTATGATCTATCACCTGTGCATATATGTAAATATATTCATATATATTTACCATATTGAAAACTTTCTGCATATCCACACTCCACAAAAATAAGAAAACTCATTGGTGACTTCATGAATTGACAAAAAACATATACTTGGGTATCTTTGTGATTCCTAGGTACTGTTCTATTCTTATTTTGAAGTCCACACTTTCCTTATAATTTATTAATAACCACAAAAAATATGCATTTGGAAAGCCTTGCATATGTTCTAATCGGCCTATGAGCAAGTAAATTGAGCAAGTCAAAGGCAAGGTCCACAGTATGCATGCAGCTCTTGGCTCATTTCTCTGAGGCCCAATCCAAAAAATTAGAAAAAAATGTAAAATTATAATATATTAATAAAAATTGCAAATATAGAGGCATATATATAACATCGGACTCTTAAAAAGGATTCTTGCGGGGTTCGTATAATCCTTAAAAGTCCTTAGGTTTTTTGGAATCAATTTTTGGTCCTTGAAATTTCATAATTTTTACCAAAATCGGCAGCAGGTTCTTATTTTTAATCATCTGAAATTTCTGTCTGTTTTCACAACTGCCATTTTGAGTGTGAATTATCATTTTGGAAGAATATTTTTGGTGATTCACTGATAAATATGATTATCTTTTTAATGAGTTCATGAATTGTTTTTTCAGGGCAAAAAGTGAAGAAGCATTTTGAAATTATTTAATTTTTTCTGATGAAGAACACTTAATTTAATTATTTGTAGCTAACTGCTCGCACTTAAAAGTTATCTTTCCATATTAAAGTGAGTTATTGCCTTTCATGAAACCTTTACTGTGGTCAGAAGATATAGCACAAAAATGTAAAATTTATTTTTTGCATTTAGTGAGACTTAAAATCATACAAAACAATTAACCGCCTCTGGTGCGTTAGTGACTTATTTGGAACCTTAAACTATTTTAACTGGGTTAGAACCCCAGGAACTCTGCAAAAAGCTACGACACTGACTGCATCAAACAGAACGCAACTAACTTTCAAAACTTGCCAACCGTGCCTGCATCAGGCTTTTAGGTTTGTTCTGATCAGCGGGTCTCTCTCAACAGCTGATATTCTGTTACAAATCATACTGATTATGATTTTGCTTCTTATTTTAACTTATGCCATTTAACATAAAATCTACCTGCTATTTACTAAAGCTCTAGACTGAACAAGTACGTGACAAAATGAAACATAAAAGAAAAAATTAACATAAAGCCGACTCTTAGTAAGATGTAAATAAAATCTCACTAATCTTTCATATATGTCCAAGTTATTACAAGTGTAAAATATTTAATACTTGATAAATTTTATAAAGTTCATTTTGTTCTTAAATTTGTTTTATAATTATGTTTAATAATAATGCATCTTGTTTATGAATCTGTTTTATTCTTAGGATGGTATTACAAAAATGATGTTCAGGGCGTAGATAATTTCTTTATTTGAATTTATTCAGTTCCCATTTCCTGATTGGTCCTTAACTTTTCTCATTAATGGTTCTTAAGGGTACTTAATTTGCATGTGCAGTAATGCGTATGAAACCTATCTTGAGATGGTGCCCTTACAAAAATAATTTCTCAACTGATGTTCAGAGAAGCTCAACCCAGTTACAGATGGAATTAACTGGAAACAGTTTACCCAAATTTTACAAATACTTGCCAGAGCAGGTCTTTCTAAGGTCACAAATTTGCATTGTACATGATTTCTATGTTCGTAACTCTGAGGACATCTTTTCTTATTTATGAGTGCAAGTATCTGCACAAATTTGAAAGCTGGTTGCTGAAAAAAAGATGCCAAGTGTGAGGTAGAGAAACAGTTTTGTCTGGTTACTAAATTTCCTAAATAAAAAAAAAATTAACTGCAATGTTAGGTAAGATTTTATGTATTTACTCACTTTTTCCCACACCGCATAATTGCTCACTGGTGACTATTTGGCCCTCTTGAGATTATTCAGTCTGACATGCCTGGTGTAAAGCCGCATGTGTACTAAAAAATGCATGCATAGTTATAGTTGCTCAAATAAATGAAAATACACCAAAAACATGGCAGTTCTACTAAATGGTAAAATAGGCATGAATAATAAAAAAATGCCATGGTGTAAATTAAGATTAAGAAAAAATTGTTTTACTATTTCACTGGCAAAGTAGTTGTTGCAGGGTGATACATACAACTTTTGGATCTAATCCTTTGTAGAACAACATATATCAAACACATTCCTCTTGAAAAAAACATGTGGCAATTTGATATTTCCAATGCGAAGATTCGATTTCATCATCAGCTCATTTCAAATGTTTTAAAATTTTTCTAAACATTAGAAATAGATAACTTAGTACCAATAAACAAAGAATTAAATAAAAGGACATAGTTTAAAATGTTTTTTTGTTGACAGTACTTATCTCAATACCTGCAAACACTTTCTGATTTTCAGGGAGACTATGTTTTTTCATCATATCTTCTCTCTTTTTTGGTAGATCACTTAATCTCCTATTTTTAATTTTTAGCATTTACTAAGGAAAATATTTTCCAACTATAAAAAAAATATATATATATATATATTGAACTGTTGAAACTTAAATTATGCAAATTACATTTTTCTACTGCTGTTAATTTTCAGCATAATTTTTCTCATTAATTTTATTTGATCTGAGTTGTCTTAATCTACTATTGATATTTGTAGAACTTTTTATAGATATTTGGATTGGCATTACCACACAGTTCAAAAACCTCCCAGAAACTCTGGTTTATCATTACGTCAAGGCTGGCAGATGTTACTTTGAAAACAAAATCACTATTATAAGAAATGAGAACAACATCTTTAATTTATCAATGATTAGTAAGCAGTTTTGGTTGTGCGTATGTATAAATATTTAAATCAAAATAAATTAGCAATAGCCCCTTAATTCTTCATTATTAATTTGGGTATTTCTTCTTTCTATATAAAAAGTAGTAACTATTTTTGGGCTGTACTTGTTCTAGATCAGTCCATATAATATAACTTGCATGGTGCTCATGATGTCCCTGTTTCAGAACTTAAACCTAAACCTTTTCTCTTAATGAACTTCCATCTTTGATAACTATTCACTGTCTCTTCTACCTGTCTTCTCACTAAGACATTGCCTTGCTGCTGCTCTTCCTGTCGCAATG